TAGATCTAGAGTTTATGAGAAAATTACTAGTCACAACATTCGAGTTTTAACTTACTTCCTTTGTGGTAATCTAAATGTACGATATTTAGCGTTTTGTTTGCCAAACGATTGTCAAATTCTTCAAACTTCCTAGTTACTGGCGGTGTTCAAATTTGTACCCGCTCTTCATTCTCTATTGAATATTCGATCTTGATCTTTGAGTTAAAACTCAATTCTCATTGCAGACTCCCGCTCCTTCTTGGTTTATAGACAAAACCCAAGATAAGGTCTTTACTTTTGCTATAATAGCAATTCAAATGGTCATATTCTAATAACCTTTGATTTTATCTCGCACAAGACACATAACGATCCAAACTCTTGTATTAGAATCAGATCGAATAAATCGAACTGATAGAATAACCAAAACAAAAAATGTTTCTACCCTACTCTTACTAGTCAAATGGCGGGAAGTCAAGTTGTCGATCAACAATCAAAGAGTACTCCAACTAAAAAGGAGGAGGTGCCAAAAGCTAAAAGATGTGTAGGTCCGAAAGCATGAATTAGAGATACGTGATGCTATTCTTTCTATTCTTCAGCATCCACGTGTTAATCAGTGCGAGGTGACGTGGCCGGTTACTATTCATGCGAGATTTCTCGATTTTTGAGCCCCGAATTTCTAAAATCCATAACTTTCGCATACGAGCTCCGTTTTTGACATTCTTTATATGCACGCATAGCTAAAATTACGCTCTACAACTTTCGTTTGGACTTCGTCGGCTAATTTTGACTTTATTTTTAATATCATTATTTTTAACAGATCGGGACAGGAAAATCCGTTAAAAATTCATAACTTCTTCATCCGACATCCGTTTTCGTCAGACTTTTTACCGTTGTACTACATATGACGAGACCTTCGATTCTCATTTAGGATGTATCAGTAAAATATCGCTCGATCTAAAATTTGAGTTTTTAGCTGTCTACTGCTAAGTTGAAACTTCGAAAAATCATAACTTCCTCATACGAAGTCAGATTTTGGCGTTCTTTTTATCGAATTTCTCGGTTTAACGAATACTACGACTTTCATTTAGATTTCTAAGGCTAAAAAGTAGTTTATCAAAAACTCACTTTTTACGTCATTTGGCGTCGTGTCGGTTTTATCGCGGATCTTCGGTTGGTCATAACTTCTTCGTTATAACTCGGATTCCGACGACATTGTTCGTTATCCAAAATAAAAATATCATATAACGGTTTGAATGGTTATCCATCACGTGAATGATTTTGAATTACCTTGATTACTTGATTTATATTGGATTTATTTATGTGAGTCATTATAACCATGCATGATAATGATTAGTTCGTCTGTCTTGGAACTATGGTGAACGCCGTAATTGGTCATAACTTCTTCGTTATAACTCGGATTCCGACGAAGTTTTCGCCTACAAGTTTCTAATGAGATAATTTACAACATCAAATAATAAAATTTTACTTATTTCAAATTTTATATTTTCGCTAAATTTCACTATTTGGCTATTAATTGGAATCTCATAAGACTTCCAATATTTTATGAGTGATTCTAAACATAGTTTTACTTCATTTCTAGTAAAAACTAGTTGTTAGAACTCAACACTTAATTTTATTCACTTTTAATAATAACAATACACAATTTCAGAACGTGTATGTTACAGTGACAAAATCTTAAGATCAATTACGGCGTTCACCATAGTTCCAAGACAGACGAACTAATCATTATCATGCATGGTTATAATGACTCACATAAATAAATCCAATATAAATCAAGTAATCAAGGTAATTCAAAATCATTCACGTGATGGATAACCATTCAAACCGTTATATGATATTTTTATTTTGGAAAACATCGGGTTTTCCGGGGAAATTCAACATTTTCACTTGTACGTTTAATACAAAGTTTTTCAATTATACACGTTTTGAAATCATCATGCATATATTTACGAATCTTCACACCTTTTTATAAACAATGGTCTTTTCAGAAAATATCGGATTTTCTGGGTTGTTTTCGTTCAAACTACACAAAACATTTTTTTTATATCAAACATGCTTATGAACTCACCAACATTCCAAATGTTGACCATTTTTCAAAATAACGTGTATTCTCAGGTAACAGGAAAGCTGAGGAATAAGTACCAAGTATGTTAGTGTGTTTTACTTTTAAAACTATCAAACAACTTATGTATGGATTTGTAATGTTAAAACAATGTACTTGATGTGAACAATGTCAGTTGTAATATATTGATGCATGGTGATGTTTATGTTATGATTCATGTATATTCATTGTGATGATATTCAATTTAAGTCACACGAGCCCTCAAACGTTTCCGCCGTCTGGTTCGGGGGTGTGACAATCGTTCAAGAAATCAAGGCAGCGAGGCTAGTTTTTAGGTCATCATGGCAAGTTTTCTAGGCAATGTGTTCGAGTATTCAAGGTAACGATGCAAGTTTTGTAGGTTGTCGTTAGAGATATCAAGGCAACGTGTTCCAGCAATCAAGGGAACGGGGCTAGTTTCCAGGTCGTCGTTCAAGAAATAAAGGGAACGGGGCTAGTTTTTAGGACATCGTTCAACATGTCAAGGCAACGTTTTGGTGAAATCAAGGCAACATGGAACTAGTTAACAAGGCAACGTGTTGGGGGAGGCATCTTTCAAGGCCATCGTTCGACAAATCTAGGCAGCAGGGCTTGTCATTAGGTCATCGTTCGAAAAAATAATGCAACAAGTTCGAGTATCAATGCAATGTGACATGTTTTCCGGTCATCGTTCGAGCAACCAAGGCAACATGTTGGGGTGGGCTTTGTTCACGGGTCATTGGGCTTGCCTTGTTGGTGCTCGATGGTGTCTTCGTCACCATGGTCCCCCTATATATACATCAAGGCAATGGGGATAGAAATCAGGCTTTCGTTTGAGATATCAAGATAACATGTCCTACAATTCAAGGCCACAAGGCTAGTTTTCAGGTCTTTGTTCTAAAAATTAAGACAACATGTTCAAGAAATCAAGGCAACAAACATTGATTTGCATGAGGATGCATAAGTTTTAGTATGTGCACGACATCGGGAGAAATCAAGCCATCGTGGCTAGTTTTCAGGTCACCGTTCAAGAAATTAAAGTAACGAGACTAGTTTTGAGGTCATCATGGCAAGTTTTCTAGGCAATTTGTTCGAGTATTCAAGGCAACGATACAAGTTTTGCAGGTCCTCGTTAGAGATATCAAGGCAACGTGTTCCAACAATCAAGGGAACAAGGCTAGTTTATAGGTCGTCGTTGAAGAAATAAAGGGAACATGGCTAGTTTTCAGGACATCGTTCGACATATCAAGGCAACCCATTGCATGTTGTTATTATATTATTTGTTAGGTATTGGTATTTTGGGGGAAACTCACTAAGCTTTGGGCTTAGAGTTTTAGATTGTGTTTCAGGTACATCAGTGGATCGCGAGAAGGCGAAGGTGTGATCGTACACCTCCTCATGTTTTTGCTTACAATTTTGGGATTTCTCTGATATGAAACTCATTTTGAAAACAATTTGTAAACAATGTTGGTTTTTGGGTTGTTTAAAAAGTTTAAATTTTTCAAGAATTTTATAAATGTTACAATCTGATCGCCCTACAAAAGGTTGATGTGCAGCATGAGCACTTGGAGTTTCTTCGTAAGCAAGCGGAGAAATATCAAATGACAAAGGATTTAGCAATTCTCCATACGAGCGAAGCAAATATGGGACCACAAGAAGCGCTAGTGCTCTGGAAGATAAAGGAGAATATTGAAAGACAATATATGGATGAGTATGGATGAGTAGTTGATCGGTTTTTAGTTTTTAGGATAATTATTATTATTATTATTATTATTATTATTATTATTATTATTATTATTTAATTTTTTTTTTTGCGTTCAACGTTGTGTTTTTTTTTGTGTGTAATGTTTTTAAATTTTTTTTATTGTTATGGTTAATCTAGGAGTTAACTAAATTGAATGTTTCATTTTTTTTTTATTAATCCAATGTGATTAAAAAAATAAAAAACAAATAAATTGAAAAAAAGAAAAAAAAAACGATAAAAAAATAAAAAAAGAAATGATGACATGAAAAGTCAGTCTAAAAAAATGATATATTTCATTGTTTTATGGGAACCAATTTTTTTTTTTTTAATTTTTTTACATTCGACTTTTTTATTTTTATTTTTTTTTAACGACAAGCTGGCATTAAAATCGGAAAGGAAAATTAGTGGGAGGATAGGTAGTGCAAACATGAAAAATAATCTAAAGAATATAGTAAATTACATATGAATCGTGCGGATGTCAAAATGCATATTATATATAGATTAATTTAAAACCCCCTTAAGTAACAATACTTTGTTCCTATTGAGCCAAGAATTTAATCTATTCCTCTTTCCCACCGCCTAAAGATGCCACCACCTAAAGAAACCAATAGAAATACGCTTGTTGTCACCGAACTATCCCATAAAAATGAGATTAGTGTATTTTCCACCGCTTCGTAAAGGAAACCACGTATATTTACTCTAAAATTGATTGGTGTCATACATATCTGTCCTCCAACCACCGCTTTAACTGTTACGTCCTTCCACATTCTTCCTACCGCTGTTCCATCTCTTTCTTCCTTCCACAGAAAAGCCCTAAGTCGATCCGTTCCTCTCCAATTACTCGGACAAAACATTGGAGAAAAGATATGTGAGAATCACCACCACCATCGTACTTTTCCTCTATCGGTTCTCTTTCAGTGCTTCCCTTATTGCTTATTCGGGGGGTGTTTGGCTTATCTTTTGAGATGACAAAAGTCCTTTTAGGAAAAGATAAAGGTAAAAGATGTTTGGTAAAAACACTTTTAAAAGCTATTTTTGGATTTTGGATATAAGGAAAAAATGAACTTTTTGGAAAAGTCATGAAAACCTAACTTTTGCAACTTTTCCTAAAATGACTTTTGGCCTCTCAAAAGATAAGTCAAACACTCCCTCGGACGAGTAAAGGTAGCTACAACAGTTCAATTGAACTCATATAATGTAGGATATGAGAGGGGAACATGATACCTGAGCTTGAGAATGCCTCGAAAGCCAGGGAGAGGGGAGATGTAGCAAAAGATGCCTACGTCGGATTTCTCGAGGGGGGATTTCATGACGGCCGATTGTGATTGTCGATGCTTCTGCGCTGATATCTCAATCCATCAAAAGGGTGATTTCTCTTGGGATGGGTGACCTGACTACTTTTTCTTACTTTAGCAGGTGAGTTACGGCTCAATCGATTCTATTTTCTTTCTTTCTTCTAATAGATACATTTCATCTTCTTCTTTGTGGATTTTGTGTTTTCCCGTTTTCTTTATATATGCTCCATTGATAGATTTTTGGAAACAAGGGAGTGGAACAATGATTCACCGCCTCCAGTTAGTTTAGTTTTTTGAGGTAATAGTCAATTTTGTTCTTCATCTACGTATTTCTTTAATTCCTTTTCGTTCTTTTGTCTCAAAACCTTACTCTTGCTGTTTGAATGGCCTATTTTTTTTTTTCAATGTATGTGTGTGGGTGGAATACAAGAGGATTCTTGAGCTTCAGTTAACAACCCTGTTATTTTGGTAATCTACCATATAGTTCTATCTACTTGCTCTATAATTTCGTTTGAATCTTTTATCGAGTAAATTACACAAATGGTCCCTATTGTTTGGGGTAATTTGTACGTTTGGTCCCTAACTTATTTTTTTAACTCGGAAGGTCCCTACTATTTGCTTTTGTTACATGCTTGCTACAGTTTGTTTTTGTTACGCGCTTGGTCCCTATCTTACGTAAAAATACTACTATTTAAATAGGGAAATTGGTGGAGTAGGTAAGGTAAGGTGAGGGGGTGGGGTTGGGGTGTGTTTATTTAAATAAATTAAAAAATCAAAGGCAAAATAGTTTTTTTTAGTTAAGGCATGGACCAAACGCGTAACAAAAACAAATAATGGGACCTTCCGACTTAAAAAAAAAGTTAGGGACCAAATGCGAAAATTACACTAAACCATAGTGACCATTAGTGTAATTTACTCTCTTTTATCTTATTGCTTTACTAACTCTATATTTCTTTATTTCCATTTTTACCCTTTAACACCAGTTAATATATCTAACCAGGAACCCTATAATAGAAAGTCAAAATATATTGACGTTAGGAAAGATACACAGAGTAGAGTTAGTAAAACATGTAAGTTCATTAGGTGAACCATCATATATGTATATACCTGCTTATTTCCTTGATAAAACATGTAAGTTCATTAGATAGACCATCATAAACGTATATACCTGCTTATTTCCTTCATTTCCTTTGCTCCTTTTTGCCTGATGGGCATTTGTTTATATCAGCAATTGTCAACTTCATTAGGTGGACCAACATATACCTCTATGGTTTTATGGAAAGATATTAGTATTGTACATTTATAGATTTATCCTTGGGTTCATTTTTAGACAATTGAGGCACTTTCATATGTTCCAGCACCTAAATTGGCATTGAGGTTGTACTTACAGTGTGTAGAGGTAAACTTATTATATGTCGAGATCATTTGACAAATCTACCCTCGACCTTTGCATAAGTTATATAAATTTTTTTACTTTTTCTTTTTTCAGACTGCTAACGATTGTGATTTGGAACCAATTGCATATGAGTTTTTCACCCAAGCATTTGTTTTATATGAAGAAGAAATTGCAATAATTGCTCAATCTCTTAACACGCATAAAAAGTGATTTTAATAGAGTTTTTCTTTATTTACAAACACATGACTTATTTATTTGCATGCTGCCAAAATTCCAAAAGCTCAAATAACTGCAGTTCATCTAATAATTAGAACCCTTCAAAGGACACATGTATTTGGTGTGGAAAACAGGGACACTTTGACACATAAAGCCACAAGGGTAATAACTAATAACAAGCACAATTCAAACAACAATCCTATTTATCCCATTTTCATTAATTTTTTTATACTAAAAATCTACTTTTTATTTTTTTTAGATACAAATGCGGACACAAATAGATCAATTAACAACTGAGAAAGACGATGCACAAAGACATGTTAAAGGTTTACTATGTGTGGTTGAAAGTAATGGAAGTTCATTGACAACTTTTTTTTTTGAATATCTTACAATTGGTTTTGACCTTCTAAATATGTGATTTTCATAGATTACAACACATGTCATTTGTACTTTTTTTTTTTTTAGAAAGGTGTTCCGGCATTTACTGTTTCACAACCAAAACAAACCATGCAATCAAGAGCAAAAAAAGGATATATATTCCATATTTTATATTTTAATATTTATTTTTAAGTTAATTTAATTAGATCGATGGATATTATGCAACTTTATGTTTTTGTAATGACAATCCTATCCTTTGATTATCAAATCTTTATTAACAATGTTAGGGGTATAACATGGATTAACACAAAGCCTTATGTATGGATCTCTTTTGTTAGCCCATTGATAAACATATCTCACATGTTGCTCCTACATTTTTCTCGTTTCTAAAGTTTCAAGAAATAAATTGCAGTTTGACTTTTTTAGTCAAACTGTTTGACTACAAAAGTGAAACTGTAAATTTTGTGGACAAACTCAATAACTCGATTGATTTGAATGCAAGTAAATGATTATTTTACCCTTTGACAATTTCAGAAACCTTGATAAGGTTACGATTGTGACCAAATAAGAGAATGCAAAAGGACAATTAGAACTGAATTTGTAGCGATTAAACGCAATCCATCGAGTTGAAGAACTTAAGTCACTGATCAGAATGGGACCAATTTGGGATTTTCTTTGGTGTATCTAACCCTGCAACGTGGGATTCTTCCCTAGTTTAGTCTTTATTTTTAAAATTAACTCGTACTGTCCCTCAATCTATTTAACTTTGCGCGTTTCATCCATTCGGACATAAGAAGAAAACTTTATACTTAATAATGTTATCTTTTTTTTATTTTTTTTTCGTTTATTTGTTTATCGATTTTAAATTAAAAGAAATAAAATAAACTTCTCCACTTCATCCATTGGACCTTCCCCTTCCCTTACCTTGATTCCTTTCATTTCCCCATCTCTCTTCAAGGTAATCCAAAAGGGCTTTGCCATTATTCTCAAAGTTACACCAATTAGTTATGATATCCGACACTTATTTCCAACAGTGTCCCACTTGGACAATTTATCAACTACTATTAGTCACATAGACTTCAAATAACCAACAAAGCGTGCATTCTATAACAACTGCTGAACTCTGATCTTATCAAGAATTGGCCTCCAATTTATGACGATCAAATCAGACTACTACTCGAACAAATCAATTAAATGCGAGCAAGGCCCAACAACCCATCGGTATGTTTCTTGATTTCTGATTTTTTTGTACACTTTCACTAAAAATCGAACAAAAAACATTGTTCTAGAAAATAAAAAAACCGACGATTTGGTTTTTGATTTCAAATCGATTTATTTACTTTTTTCTCAATTTCATTTCGGTTTTTGGTCACCGTGTCATTGGAAATATTTGATACCAATATTTTGTGAAGTTTCAGAATAGTTCTTAATTACCTCACACTAAAATCCGATTGTAACACCGGTAGTTGGATAACTCAACATCATAAGAAAATATAACAAACAATGAATAATTGTACAAGGAAAAAAACTGCATTGATTATGTTATATTCACTAAATCATATAAACCGTTTAGGTAACTTACTTTATATAATATGCAAAATCTTTTCTTTTTGTCCAAATCATAAATAGGAGTGTTTTTCAAATATTTTCCCTTAAGGGCATAATATGGTATAATCTCAAATTATGGGTCCGTTTTTAAAATATTTTTGAAATACATAATCCCCTCACTTTTTTTTTTTATATATATAATTATTATTCTCCATAATAATCTACGCAAACAAAAACCCTTCTCCTCCTTTTCAGATTCAAAGGCTTAGGCGGCGGCAAGAGGCGGAGATGGATCCAGATGCGGTAGCGAAGGCGTTTGTTGAGCACTACTACTCCACTTTCGATACTAATCGGGCAGGTTTGGCTAACCTGTATCAGGAATCCTCGATGTTGACGTTCGAAGGTCAGAAGATTCAGGGATCTCCCAACATCGTAGCCAAGTTGACATCACTCCCTTTCCAACAGTGCAAGCACAGTATCACTACCGTTGACTGTCAGCCCTCTGGCCCCGCCGGCGGCATGCTCGTCTTCGTCTCCGGTAACCTCCAACTCAGTGGCGAGCAACATGCTCTTAAGTTCAGCCAGGTACAGTATTCATCCGTCTTTTTTGGCATGTTATAAATCGCTTTACATCCATTGATAAGTATTTTTCCCAAAGATTGATCCCCAAATTAAAAAATTAAAAACTATCGATGTTCATTAGGTTTGTGCCTGTTGATGCTTTTCCTAAATCTGATATTGTTTGTGTGTGTGTGTGTGTGCAGATGTTCCATCTAATGCCCACACCGCAGTCAAGCTTTTACGTCCTGAATGACGTTTTTCGGTTGAACTATGCTTGAAGCCACCTTTATGAGAGGTTATCTATGTCCCTTGATTGATCATCACTAGGGGAACAAATGAAAATCTGGTTATTATGATTTTATAATGTTTATTTTTTTTTTTATTTTTTTTTTTTATTTTTTTTTTTGGTAATTTATCAAAACTAAGAACTTCACATGGGGATTGATTATATGTGAAATGCATTTTTGGTGTTTGTTTTTGTGTTTGTGCTTGGTTTATAAATTAACAACCATAACATTTTTTAGAGACAAAAACTAGATAAATGAGGCATATTGCGGTTAACATGAATACAAATCCAATTACACACACCTCCATTTGGTTACATGAGCACTTAACAGTTAACACCTTGATAACTATTTCTTCTACATGTGTATATAACTAACAGTCATCTATTTCCATACTAGCTACTCCACCCCCAAAACCTCGGTGCTCGACCTGCAAAATTCCCCATTATTCACAAGTTTTCTTTAAACAAATATCTATATGAGAGGTAAGAAACTGATATATATATATATATATATATATATATATATATATATATATATATATATGAAGTTAAAGAAAAGCCTCTGTAAGTAGATAAATGAGATGTAAATAAGTATGCATGAACTTACCATAGCTTGTCTATGGTTTTGAAGCATACGGTGATACTGCTGTCGTGCTGGTTGGGAGTCCACCATAGCCAGTACCCTTGCCACAGCTTCTCCAATAGCAACATCCACTTTCTCCTTCCGAAATGCCTTCACAACATCTTCATCTTCATCTTCTTCAACAGACTCCACCTGGCGAAAACCTCTTAGACCAGCTCCTTTTCGTCTCCACCTTAGAATAACTTTCTCAACTATACCCACTGCCCAACATATAACCTTATAGCTTTTCCTCACCTGATGACCTCTCACAAGAGCCTACAAAAGAGTTAAATAATTCAGAATCAGATCATCAACTTTCATATGTAGTAATCCATGATACCAAAAAGAGAAGCAAGACCTGTATTTTGACTACTTTCTGGCGAAATGAAATGAAATCCTTTCGACCTTTCCACCCCCGGTATTTCTTCTGTATCGACAAGGCAGCATGGTGATCATGTGCATTTCGAAAAGTCAACTTTGACCCTTTTGAAAGACCCTCAATGTCACTAGAAAGCAAACCATATTCATCTTCACTTCCCTCAGATTCTTTCTGTTTCCTTCTCCTAAAAGAATGTGCCCTGAAAGCAGACTGTATTCGTGCAGCAGCCTGAGTTGCATTCCTAACAGCACTTAATGTGTCTTTAAGATAAATATGATCATCATATACACCAAGACTGTTTATTGTTCTTTCTGCTTCCATGTCAGCACAACTTCTAGAAACTTCAGTTTCTTGTAGTTTGAGAGATGAAAGATGACTAGTCAATGCCATCTCTGAAAGGTAACCCGCAAGCCCTTTGTGTCCACATGCAAAAGCTATTGATGCCGGGGTTTTCCCTGTTGGATCTTGGTTACTTGGGTCTGTAATTGCTCCAGCAAATGCACCACAAGCAAGGAGTTCAGCCACCATCTTTTCCCTATCACATTCCAAAGTATCATAAATCTATTTTTTTTTTTACCTTTAATAGCAATAAGCTTGTATTTCTTTACCTTCCAAAACGTGCAGCCCAATGAAGAGCAGTCCAGCCATTAATGTCGCGAAAATTTATGTTTACACCGGAGTTAAGTATTGGGCTCAAGGCCCAACAGAAGCCCAATCCAGAAACCATGTGTATCATTCCTTGTTCTCTTTTGGACAGAGCATTGTTATTGTTCAATCTAGAAGAAAGCCATTGGTGCAACTTGTCTTTTAGAAGTTGTTCAAGGATCCATTCCATTGCATTAGATGATGCCAAACTTCCATCTAAAAGGGCCTCAATCAGTTGACTCCATGAATCTTCAGTTTCTGTGCTTTCTCCTTTTTGATCAAATTGTAGCATTTGCACAAGTCTGACTAGTAACAGTAATTCTTCCAAGCTCTTATGTGATTCTGTTTCTGATGATTTATGTTTATAACTACTTTGTTTATCACGATATTCAAACTCTTTGATCTCACTATGAGACTCTTGATTGTTTGAAGTGATACAAACAGTAACTTTTCCAGGCAAACAAGGAGGGGCCTCGCAACATATGACTCCCTCTTGAATAATCTGGACAGGAACTTCAGTATCACCAAACATACAAGTCCATGAATCACATGTAAATGTCCCAATAAAGAATACCTGCAGTGAGTTAGTGAGTGAGTGAGGAATATGCACATATTTGAAGAGCATCATTTTGATTTAATGAAAATGGAATATAGTAATAATACCTTTGTTGACTCATTTGCATAGCCCCATTCTGGGGATATCTCACGAATAGTAAATTTCTGCTCTTGTGCAATGGTCAAACTTGAATCTGGTCCAGGAGGAGTTTGACTATGTTCTTGGTCAAACATTGTTGAGTAATCGGAATCACTTCCATACTTATTTGAAGAAAATTTTAGATCTTCAAGTGAATGAGGCAGGAACATGGATGCTGTAGTAAAAAAAAGAGTTGTCAGATAGTTCTAGAATCCATTCCAGGGTTAAATATTTGATTAAAAACATTAAATCTACTAATTGTTAGAACTACCTTGGTACCCTTTAAATATATTATTATAACTTTCTTCATCCACTGTCAGTCCACAATCATATGAATTCTCATTGTTATTGTATAAAGCATCAATTTCTTCCACATGGCCCTCATCCAAACTTAACTGCTCCTCAATTCTTTTCAAAGCCTGATCAACCTCAGAGTTAGGTGAACCACTAACTGTTTCAGTTGTTTTCATTAGAATCTCATGGCTTATCCCCCTGGCTTTTGTAAAAGAATCTGAACTAACTTCTATGCAACTTGGACTAGAGGTGCTCTCATAATAATGTCCATTAGTTTCATTGGATGTCAGCTGACTAGCATAAGAGTTGGAACCTTGAACAAGATTTGAAGAAGTTCCTGGAGAAAATGCTGAAAGGGGTCCCACAATATGTCTACCCTGTAAAAAGATGTTAAAAGCGTTTCATGTAATATTAGATGAATAGTTTTATCCATATGTTAGAGACTTACCGGGGTTGTTTGACTTGTATCTCTGTAATGAACAAGCACAATATGCTCCTTTGCCCTGTTAACCATTAAATCAAAAAGTAGATGTGTTCATTATTTGGTTAAAAACAGAATCTTAGTAGCATATTGTATTTAAACTGGAGATACTCACGAATTTAACATCCAATAGCTACGCCTCTGGAAATTTGGATTCTCTTCACCATGTGCGTAGTAGCAATTCAAAGCTTCAACATTTCCAACCTATGCAGAAGGAGTTTAGCATAAGAAAAAATATGGGAAGTAAAAAAAATAAAAAAAGAAGAGGAGAAGAGGTCAAACTTTTAGACGTTCGTGTGCTTCACCAATGGCTTTTCCGTCTTTCTTTCTCCTCCAACTATGACCATCTTTACGGAAAAACCTCAGGATTTTCCTGTCAAAGAGAAACAAAGAGCCACCTGTAGAAGCATGTAATGAATAAGATAACCTTGACAATATCAGATGTATATCTTTCAAATAAATCAACACACAAGTACATACTTGGTGGCAGTTGAGGGGCCTCACGGGTGAGCTGCTTTTCATCATAATTCTGCAGTATGAAAAGCACCTCTGCTGCCTTTAGCCATCGGACTTGTGCTTCTTCCAGTATATCTCTGATGTCATACCCTAAGTAAGATGCATAACAAAAACAGCTTTAGAAGTACATAAGGTTGATCAAGTACCAAAGATTTACATGCATAATGTGCAGAGTTAGTTTTCTCTCATCCTCTATTTTCCAGTGATTAAAAACAACACTAATTTTTGCTAGGTCAGTCTAGTTGGGGATCCCTGTCACATCTCATGATTTTTGTTGATTCATTACACCTGAAGATCACAAACGCCACTTATGATTCTATATCAACAGGATGGATGCTGCTGTTGGATCTTCTATGATGTATATCTCACTTGAATAGTTGTTATGTTGATGGAATTACTTACTACCTCAAATTAAAATATTGAAATTGAGGTTAACCAGTTACAACGACGCCCAAAATTTCCATAAATCATGATAACTTTGTTCAGATACGAATTTATCCAAATTAATTTAGGAATTAATCCTTCTACAGCTTTCAATACTTAGTAAGCAAATTTCGATCACATGATATGCTTTTCGAAGTTCTCAATACTTCAGAGCATAAATGAAAGCTGTAAATCGCACCGACTAGAACTGGATAACGCATACGAATACAAGTAATCTTCAAATACACGATCAGAATTCAACTATCAGTACAACAGTTAATTTCAAAATTTCACCTGACGTCGTCATTTGTATATTCAACTCTTAAATGACTGACAACGGAGCTCTCAACGAAGTTGCTAACACCGAATAGGTTCGAAGCACGCTAGAGAAATATCTGACGCTGCTATGCTGCAGGAACTACGATCGATGCTTTCCGTCGAGTACTCGAGTACAACAGTACACAGATTCCAGGTAACGACGACGGAATTAAGCAGTCTCCTCCGTGACTTTGTTGATTGAAAGGAGGCGGTAGGTGCTTGGATTCATGAATCATAGATACTTCGGGAGAAAGTCTTGGCAACAGGACAATGAGTTTTTGGCAGGAAGCTGCGATGCGCGACAGACTATTCAAAATAAAATGAGGACATTTTTCAATTAAATATCCCAACTATGCTTTAGTCGAATTATTATATAGGATAAAGCAATAATTTTTAATCATGTTGTTTTTTAGTTTAATAAACTTTTATTAAATAAAGTTTATCATTAATTTTATACAAATTACAGAAAAAATAAAACGTATACTTCCACGGTTTTATGTCGCCCTCACTCCAAAGGTCAACATATGAAAGTAAATTGTAAACACAAAAAATATTCTGCTCTCTAACAATTGGACTCTTATCACATCTTATCTTATGATAAGATATTTTTAGTAATTCTTGTGACAAACTTACTACTAAAAACAATAATTGAAAGCCTATATTAAATATATGCGTGAATACTATTTGTATGTTAACACAAACATTTCAAACGTTAAAAACAATAAAAACCAATAAATTGAAATATAACAAAGGCATAACACGTTTATAACCTTTTATCATAGAATAATCATTTTGACTCTCGATTTGAACCAACTACTTTAACTAATCAGCGTAAATAAATAATGAAGACTTGATAAAAAAAAAAAAGCGTACTTATTAAACTCGTTTCAGCACATGTAACCAAAGAGAAACGACTAATTATCACATCCAATCTTATCCATAAACAACATATATTCTATTCAGAACATATAACAACGGATCTTAAATTGATATGTGATTTAGAAATAATAAATGTATGTATAAAGTATAATATAGATCAATTGTAAAAAAAACAACAATATAAGTACAAGTAAGAAACAAGTCCATAATACCACCACCATGTTTTAGCTTTTACTGTTTTACACACATCATCCATAACCACCATATGCTTCTTGAAGTAAAGAATGCACACCCACAACCCTAATTCGAAAAAAAAAAAAGGCTAAAAAAAACTTCATGCCTATATTGTATGTCTTTTTAAATAATTCTTAAACATCCAGAGTTCCTTCCTGCATTTATACTTCAAGAGGCTCAAATCAGAAACAACATTCATGGTGCTGGATCTCTTGTTTCACAACAATTTCCAAGCTGCAAAATCAAAAATATAAACCATTGATCAAACATAATCCTATATCTTTCCAAAAACACTAATTGTGAAGATATTGATTACACGACAATATGAAATGGAAGTCCCTGAAATTACATAATAGATAATCCGTTTTGTAAAAATTGTAGATTTTGTGTATAAGCGTAGTTTAATACAATTGTTTTGTAAGCGTATTGCTGGCTAAAACAACATATAGATAGATAGATAACTTTAGCTTCCACAAACACCAATATACGCATGGTATTGCTTGCTAAAACAGGTAATTATGTATAAGAATCCCATGTAAATGCATCAACAAAAGAATTTATGATTCTTCCCCGATCTTCATGGATGAAGTACTTCAACGGAGAAAAAAACCCCGTATGGCGTTCTATTCAAACTTGATAATCAAATTGAGGAAGTGTAAAAGTATAATACAGACAAGAGTCAAATCATACCAGGGACGCTCTTTCTAGGTGAAGATGGAGACAGAGTATGGCAGAAAATGGCACGACCAAGCATGGATATACTCGAAATAATTCCAGCTACGTAAAACAACATAACTAATCCAAGAACCCAGGGCATCAACAAAAACCCTATGAAGAAAGTTATTGATCCACACAACATTAAAGCCAACGATATCCCCAATAACAAAGACGCGAATCCCGCCGGCGTTATCTGCGATAGGGGAGCCGGACGTGGCTGCCTCCGCGTTGACGTAGACACCTCGTCGGAGAATTGAATCGGCGTAGGAGGATGCCGGAGTAAGTTAAGAATCAAAGCAGATAACTCGTAGAAAACCCTAGATTGTTGATCATCTTGGTGAGGTTGTCTGGTCATCATCTTTGTTTAGATATACAATAACAATTACTTGTTATCCAAATCAAGGAGAATTGATACTCAATTCGTAGGTATGATTTGCTCAAATCCAAACGATTGGATAAACTCTGAGTAGGGTTTGACGAAATCAAAATTGAATCTGATACTTGTAGTTTATTTTCTTTTCCTTTCGAATCTTCTCAAATCGAATTACATATGCAGCAGTTTAGATCGCAGTAGCTTCTCTGCGCCGATCAGAGATCAAATACAGAAAAATAATACAGTAGCAATTACGATTTGCACAGAGAATTATGAGAAAAATCTTGAATTGAATTTTTATGAGGGTTATCTTGAAAGGGATGAACTTAAATAAAGAGTAGGTACAAGATAACGTAGCAAGGTAAAGGAGGAAGCTACAAATTTAGTCCCTATACTATTCACCTACCTTCAATTTAGCTTACTGAACTTATTTGTTTCTTTAAATGATCCAAAATTAAATGTTGTCTTGTTGTAGTTCATGACCTCTTAAGTCAAAAGTATCAAATGTGCATTATTCTAATGATTTTCATGTCCTTAGACATTTACATAGTCACTTTTAAGGCCATTGTGGCTACATCTACCGTAAAAGTCCAATTGACTTTAATGGTTTTGTAAAATTTTATTAGAAAACTTATAAATCGTATTGTATGGACGAGTGGTTTAGACCACGTTCTATATTTCTACTCATGGAGTCCTCTTAAGTTGTTGAGGTGCTGCCATTGAGCTTGAAGCTAGGTTGTCAATGATTTTCTATGACCTCTATTCAATAGGCAAAATACCTTTTTTTTTTTTTTTTTTTTGGTATATTTTGTTTGAATTTTTATTTATTTGGTGAATGTCACTCGTGGATCTTAAATAACGAATTAGCACTTGTGAATCCTAAATGATGAATTGCTTAAGGGATCGATCCTCATTATTTTATGAAAAGTTAGCTTATTTTGTTAGCATTAAAAAATCAACAACATAACTGTATGATAGGATTCTAAACAACTTGTATATTCAACAAAATCTTTCATTAATTCTGAGACATCGTTATTTTATGTTCGTTTGTTGTCTATCGAATTGTAAGTTGATTAAAAAGTGAAAGACTTGAGTTTCATCTTCATATTTATGGTAAAAGAACAGTCTTATAAAGTTTGTTAATATATGTCATTTAAAAAAAATGCACCTTTGGGGATTGTTTGAGAATTACTGATTAAGTCAACATTTGATTGAGTCAGACTAAACCTCTTATTTTACCCAATAAAAAGCATATCATAGGCTACAAGACTGAATCAAATGCTTTTAATTATGGTATTTAGGGGTATTCGTTTGGATGGATCGGTTCGATCTGATCCAATCAAATGAATCCAAATTGATTTTTATTTTTCAAAATATAGATCCAAACAGTCCAAATTAAATTCAAAATCGGTTCGATCCAATCTTACGATTCGGTTGGATTGGTTTTTATAATTCGGTTTTCAAAAATCGATTTTTTTAAAACCATATATAATTAGAATATTACCCAACTTTATAAAAGAAAAAAAAAACAAATAACTTAGTTGTGGTTCTAAGTTTATAAACAACTACTAAAAAAATATATTACAGATTTAATATTTTATAGATAAAAACTTTTGAGAAAAAATACATATTAAGGTTTTTTTTATTAGGTGAAACTTTTTGAATCTATCTGAAAAAAATAATAAATAAGTATAGATTATTCGGTTTTTATTTTATATACCAAACCAATCCGAAATCCAAAGTAATAATTCGGTTTTGTTTAAAATCAATAAAAAAAACTAAGAATATTTGAACCAAATAGTCAAATCCAAATTATCCAATTAGATACTTCGGGTTTATCTAAATAATGAACAACCCTAATAATATCAAGCAGTTTGAATCTGATTGATTCAGACCTAAACTCTTATCAAACCCAATGCAAAACATATCAAACATTTAAAAGAAAAGAAAAACTAAGACATCTACTATTTCGGCATACACTTTCATCTTTATGTTTCTTGATTGTTCAAGTTACCATTTCGGCAAATCCTAAAGATGATAGATTTTGATTAACAACTTTATGATCTCAATTCAACTTTGATGTGTTTGATTTGATTTTCTATTTCGATTTATATATTTAAATTTTATAAACAAATAAAAAATACAAATAGAATAGGAAAGATTTTGAAATTCCAGAAAGTTGATAAGCTCTTATAGTTACAGCAACGTGACAAGATAATTTTCTTTAAATCAATAGAACAAAAACATTTCTTTTTTAGACTAAAAGATGAATTTTATTAATAGTATAGGGACTAAATCTGTAGTTCACTAAGATAATGTGAATGGATAAAAGACGGAGCGTAGATAAACGCGCCAGCATGTTGGAGCAGTGTCGGCGCTGACGGCTGACGTGGAACCTTATCTAACTTGAGCCAGCAAGACCACAAGTTTCCGATCATCGCGCTGCGGAAGCGCGTCGACTTGAGGTTCGGGTTAGTGGGAATGTTGGGGCCCAACAAGCTCTCCTTTTATAATTTCTTTTTCACTTTTTCGTTTTGTTTTAAAAGACCAATGTGGAGGTATTCTTTTTTTTTGTTTTTTGTTTCATTTTTTTTTTTTTTGTTTTTGTTTAATTTCGTTTTCATGAGATGTGAAATAACAAGACTGGAAGAAGCGGCCAAATGTTCCTTTGGAAGAGCTTGGGGAACCAATTGCTACAAGTCAAATAAGGTGAGATATCGTTTTTGGAGAAAATGAATAGGATGGAAACTAATTATTGTTTCTTTTTTCAGCGTAAAAGTTAGTAACACCACAAAATAATCAATGATTAATGAGTTAATAAGATCCTCATGAGGATGGTTTATTTTCATTATGGTTGGCCACGACGATCGTCCACACCTATGTATATAGTCGTGTTTGTGGCGTTGTTGATCGTGGTCAAACCAATGAAGGAGGACAACTAATAAGAGCTTTGTGCTAACCTCCTTTTAGGGGGTGTTTGGTTTAGTTTTTGTGGGATAAAAGTCCTTTTTGTAAAAGGACTTCTTGTAAAAGAACTTTTTACAAAAGTTATTTTTTAAAATGTTTTTGGATTAGCTTTTGAAGAGAAAATGTCAAAAGTTAAAGTGTTTAGTTTAACTTTTACATGTAAAATGACAAAAAAAGATGTGTTTAGGGTATATGAGCGGTATATTGGTAATTTAATATTTTTAACTGGTGAAAAGTTGGGAAAAGTCAAGTAATCGTGACTTTTCAAAAAGACTCAAATTACTCTATAGAAAAAGTCATTTACAAAAGTTCTCTTCTCTTTGCCAAACATCTTTTGGGACTTTTTCTAAAAGATAAAAGTAAAAGTCAATTAAAAAGCTAAGTCAAACACCCACTTACTTTGATCATATCATTTCTAGCCGTTGCAAAAGGCTATTAGTTTGAATTTTTATTTATTTTTTCATATTTTAAACATATTACCTTTATAATTTATAAGTACAATATTGCAATAGCTTATTTATTGATATTGTTCTTCTCTTCATCTACTACCCACACATATATACACGGTTTCTCTTTCTCTCTCTCTCTCTCTCTCTCTATATATATATATATATATATATATATATATATATATATATATATATATATAAGCCAAACACTTCACCATGAATCAAACTCCAAACACTCCAACAATTTTGACAGTTCGTTTGGGCTAGACACAACACCTCGTAAATAAGGATGTCTGATGAAAAATGCGGACATTACAATTATCACCCATTTAGGATGATTCTGTCTTGAAATCATGCATCAACAAACTGTTGTGGATAGCGAATTTTCATGTCATTTTCTATTTCCCAAGTAAGGTTTGACCCAAAAGTATGCTTTCAACGCACAAGTATCAAATTGATCATATTGTGTTGCAACTTTTTCGTTTTACTATAAACAATCGTTTCAGGCTGCTCAATTAACTTGTTGTTCATCAATTCTAAATTCTGAAAGTGGAATCATAGGTTCTCCTCCCAAACACTTCCTCAGATAACAAACATGAAAGGTGTTATGAACACCTTCTAGTTCAACTGGTAACTCAAGCTTGTATGCTTGCTTCCTTATCTTTTGAAGTGCTTTGAACGACTCGATAAAACGAGGAATTAACTTCCCATGTTTACCAAATCTGATAAGTCCCTTCATGGAGATACTTTAAGTAACATGTGATCACCAACCTAAAAAGTCATAGGTCGTCGCTTCAAATATGCATAACTCTTTTGATGACTTTGAGCAGCTAGTATTCTTTCTCAGATGATGTTCCCTTTATCAGCGGTTTGTTGAACAATTCCTGGCCCCACAAAGTGTTTTTGCTCTAGCTTCAAGCCAACAAGATGACGTACGACACTTTCTTCTATGCAATGCTTTATAAGGATGCATCTTGATGCTTGAGTAAACTGTTGTTGTAGGCGAATTCTACTAATGGTAAGTGATCATCCCAGCTACCAACGAATTCTAAAACACATGCCCGTAACATATCTTCCAATATTTAAATAGTTCTTTCACTTTGTCCGCCCATTTGTGGATGGTAAGCAACATTTAAACACAATTTCATACCTATTTCTTCATGCATACTCTTCCAAAATCTAAAATTGAATCGACTATCTCTGTCTAATACAATCGATGAGGGTACACCATGAATCTTGATAATATCCTTTACGTAAGTTTCTACCAAAATTTCCATGGACTTTTTCCATAGACTAAGTCTCCCGTGCGGCTAAGAATTGCGCACTCTTCATCAACTGGTCTATTATAACCCATATAATGTCGTGGCCATTTATTGTCTTTGGTAACTTGGTTATGAATCCATGGTAATGTCATCCCATTTACCCATGTGTATTAGTAAAGGTTACAAGTCCCTATATGGCTTCTGATTTTGTCTTTAACTCTCGAACAAGTCACACATTCATCCATGTAAGTTGCCACATCGATCTTTATTATTGGTCATCAATAATAGGGTTTCAGGTCCAAATACATTTTGGTGCTGCCTGGGTGTATAAAATACATGGTTTTATGAGACTCTTCCATGAGAAGATCCCATATACCGCCCATCTTTGACACCCAAATATGATTTTTGAATACCTTTAACCGTTGATTGTCTTTTTCGAACACTAACGTCTTGCCTAAATGTTCTTCTTTCTTTTTATCATCAATTAAAGCTCTTGTATGAGTTTTTTTTGATCTTTTATACAATCATTGAGATCACTTCATTACTCAACGATCTTGCTATTTTCCACTCTAGATTTAATTTTCTACCTAAAGCATTAACTACAAATATGCTTTACCAGGATGACAAATTATTTCACAATCGTAGTCTTTGAGTAGTTCCAGCCATCGTCTATGCCTCATGTTCAATTCTTTTTTAGTAAAGAGATATTGAAAGCTTTTATGATATGTAACAACTTGAATTTAGTTTCA